GAGAGAGAGAGAGAGAGAGAGAGAGAGAGAGAGAGAGAGAGAGAGAGAGAGAGAGAGAGAGAGAGAGTAGGGTAGAGCTAGAAATCTAGCCTAGGAAGGCAGGTAGGGAGCGAAGAAGCAGGGGAAGATAGATGGACAGAGTTAGAAATTCAGGATACAAGGAGGGATAACATAAATGGAAACGAGAGGAGGGGAAAGAGCTGAGGATGGAAAAGGAGGCACGCGAAGCACCAGAAGCACAGTGTGGACAAGATAGGGTTTGGTCCGTTCTAGACCGCCACCAGGAGCACAGCAGGAAAGACCTTATCTGACAGCCGACCAGAGGTTGAGTGGGAAGGAGAACAGTCGCATTTCAATGATGGGGGAGGATGCTACTCCTGCTAGGGATAGGCAGACCATAAAACAGGCAGAGGTAAGTGACAAACACCACACACAGTTCGTAATTGAATGAAGAACAAGCAACAAAAGAGGTCAAAATTTTCAATTTGGAAACAGAAAGATTGCAATGACGTCATCGCAAAAACGACTCCATCACCAACGAGGTAGAGGCGTATAGCACCTGGCAACATCATCCTATGCAATCAAAGCCATTTCTCCCACCCTTCTGTGGCGACTGTCGGTAGACGGTTTTCATACTTAGATTGCCTGCAATAACACCTCGTCAACGAGGCAGAGGCGTATAGCACCCGGCAACATCATCCTGTGCAATCAAAGCTATTTCTCCCACCCTTCTGCGGCGACTGTCGGTAGACGGTTTTCATACTGAGATTGCCTGCAATGACACCTCGTCATTGAGGTAGAGGTGTATCACAACCGGCAACGTCGATCCCTCCAGGAGACCCAGGGGGTTTGACTGCCTAGGCTGTAGGAAGACTGCAATAAGCATCCAAACAGCTGAACCTAGACAATTGTTTTATTTTCGAACTAGTCAGGTAGCCGCTGGGGAATGGGTGCGGTGAGGAAAACCCCAGACAAAGACAGAATCTTGTAAACAAATTCTTCGAAGGGTTTTGGGCTCTGGGAAGGTAAGCCAGATAAACAAGGGGCACGATTTACGACCGGGCTTTCTGTTCGGGTGAAGACGGTAGTTTCTTTCAGATTTCGGATGGAGTGGAAATGAGGTACCGAATACAGATACCACAGGCTGCAGCTGTCAGCATCGTGGGTTCAATAGCAGGTTATCACCCATTCCTTCTGGCTTCTTGAGTTTGGCGTAGAAGGTAGTCAGGTCAGAGAGAGAAAACTTCGTTCCCCCCAAGTTGTGCACCATGGTGTCAGATAGGACATCATTGATAGCTTGCAGAAGCAGTTGCTGCACCAGAGTGAAGGTGACCAGCGTTCCCCAAATGGATGAAGGCAGTGGAGCTGAAGGAGGTGCTGTAGAGAGCTTGAGTGGGAAAGTGTGCAAGAGATGTTCGGATGTAATAGACGGCAATGGAAGATATGGATGTGTATCCCGACGGCAATGGAAGATATGGATATGGATGTGCATCCCGACAGCAATGGAAGATATGGATGTGGGGAGAGAGAGAGAGAGAGAGAGAGAGA